GACAAGAAACGCTTAATACTGCAGAATAGCAACCTGCACTCTGTAATAAACTAGCAATTACTAAACAAAACTACAAATATTTGGCCCTTCTGCTCCATTTTTGCATTCCAATCTTCTTTACCTTAGCCATCACCCAGGCACAAAGTTATGCTGGTGTATACTTCCCCCAGATGTCCTGGAGCAGCTGTGATGACAAAGAAAAATTAATCATGCTGAGGACAAGCACCCAAGAAAATATTGGAATAGGCTGAGGTAGTGAAGTCCAGGAAGCCTTTCCCTTAGCTGCAAGCTGCTCTGTATTTTGGAATTACTAAAGCATAAAAGAAATGGTTCCACCATTATTCTGACAACAGACTCATTTTAAATATCTCTGGAAAGGCAGCATCTCGGAGCAGATTTCTACGTGTGAATAAACCCACAACAAGTGTTATTCTTGGGTGATTTCTCAAACTGGTCAGCTGATGAGTAAGATGAACTCTGGCTCACAAGCTTATTTTGTTGGAGCAGCACACGTGCCATCCCTAGGTAACAGGCAGATGAACATCACTTAGACAAGAGAGTGACCAGGGCTCACACTGGCAAATAGATGGCACACCCTTATCTTTCACCTTGTTTACTACTGAATTTGATAGAGGTGAAAAGTATCAAATTATAAAATCCATTAAAATCACCCCATAATTACATCAGCAGTGATGGAAAAAAATGCTGAAGTGCAGTGGCAAAGAAAGCAGAGCTAGAAACATGGAAATGGGAGACTCCAGCTCGTCTTGCTTGCCACTGACCTCACTTGCACTGGAGAAAGAAATGCCAGCTTGCTCGTACTGGCAGCCATGAGAGCAGGTAAAACAACACATTACTGCACATTATTACAGTAATGAAACGTTACACAGCTTCAGCGAGGTTATTATGGGATCTGAACTTTCTCACTTAAGACTAAATCCTTGTTTGATTAGAAAATACTCCTCTTCTGTTTGAAACTGCATTTTTGAAATATGCCCAAGGGTGTCAATAGCTGACGAATGCAACAGTTCTCAACACGTAAAGTACCATGACGTAGACTGAAAGAGCAGGGATCACAAGCGTAAGGCTACTACGTGTTTCTGTAATGGCTCTCAGAAGCTCGGCACACGGAGGAGCACGGAGAGTTAACAGGCACTGCCACATCTCTGAGCTACATCATCTTAATTTAATGCCAATGAATGAAATACAGAAGAAACAACTACTATTAAACTACTTCAAATTGAATAAGCCAATTATTTCTAGTATTTTCTATATTACAAAAGCTGCATAGGTGGAATTCTCAAGGCCACTCAGCATTGAGCACTGGGTCTCACTAGATTTCTAGAATATTAAGCTATTTAAGAATAGCTAATAATAGCTATTGTTAATAGAATAGTTTTTCATAGAATCATAGAATGGTTTGGGTTGGAAGGGACCTTAAAGACCATCCAGCAACCTGTGCCAGTGCCTCACCACCCTCTCTGGGAAGAATTTCTTCCTGATATCTAATCTAAACCTCCCCATTTTCAATTTGTACCCGTAATTTTAATTCTGTTAAACATGCCTTTTGAGAACCCCACATAAATTCATTTAAATTAAAATCTTCTCTTAAAAAAAGAACATCATTTTTAATTGAATCAATAGCCTTAACATCAACTTTCTCTTTACAGGGTGGCAGTCAGTCTAAGCAACAGGAAAGAAAGGTGTGAAGATAAGGTATGGAGCAGACACTCACTGACTTCAGTGGGCAGCACGTTTGTGAATGCTGTGCACAGCTCTCATTCGGACCTGAAAATTCCACATACGAGCAGCAGTGCCCAAGAGGGGCAGAAACTCTCTCCATGGTTTTACATGGTGGCGGGCAGTAACAGTAATGACCCTTTTCCATACGCAAATAGGCATTAGCGACAGAAAATACCATGATGTGAAAAGTAGTATTAAAAAGTAGTATTCCAAGACAGTCTACATATTGAGGGATTTCTTCAGCTCTCCCTCGTGCATCATCATCACCATACTTACTCCACCTGCTGTCTTCCCCAGAAACGTAGGCTTTAGATGCTACAACTGTGGCTCGACAAGGAAAGAACTATCAGGGAGTACAGACATTTCTTGAATTAAGTACAAAAAAAGATACTGTGAAGGAAAAGCCAAGTTAAAAACCCCAACCAAACACCTGCACACTGTTTATATAAACAAATTTATATACTTGCTCAAACTGCTATAAAGTAACTTGGCAGTAACATCAATGACTTAGGGAGGATGGTATAAAAATGAAACTGCATTATTGAATGTGATTTACAAAAGCTGTATTTGGCTTTTCATGCAAAATGTACGTAAATCTTTAAAACTGCTTTATTAAAAAAATATAATGTAAGCAAAAAATTAGGTCAGTTGTTACAAAACTTACTGATCTCTGTAGATCTACTGGGTACTGGAGGAGGCTGTGTACCATTGCGAGTAGGTGTTGATGACTGAGGGGATATGGGAGAAAAGGGAACCATATCAAAGATGTCAGTGGAGGGTGATTTAGGTGTCACACTGCCTGCCTACAATAAGGACAATAAATATTAGGGCAATATTTCACATGAACGATCACAATACCGAATTCTTCAGCATGCAGATAAGAGCCACATTTTCCAAAAAAGTTAAAAATAACCATCAGCATGCAAAAACCAGCTCCTAACACCAAGCAAATGGCATTTGCAGTTCCGAGTCCAAGACATGCTAAAACTCTGCAACATATAAGCAGCACTGTAATTTTTCCTCTTTCCGTCCATCTGGTACAGCCAGAAATGTATCACAGTTAAACCTGAAAAAGCTGGTGACAAGCAGCTCTCCATTGCAGAGGGATGAATGCAGACACGTTCACAAGACCCATTTAAGGTAATACTGCAACAACAAGATGCTACGCTCCGGAGTACACAGAACAAGGAGCTAAAATTAAAAGATACAAACCCACTATTTCTTTTTTACTAATTCTTCCTTACATGATAACATAATGACAACCTAAAAATCCGTGTGTGATCAAAGCTTCCAATGCATCTTTTAGCAAACATAGACATGCAATACACTGATTACTAATATCCAAAATAGAACTCTCATCTTGAAAATGGAACAGGAGAGGTTTCATTAGTAAGGTCCAGGAATTTGGAAGGGTTCAAAAAAATACTGGATAAGCAAAGAAAGCTCAAACCCCCCAAATTCCTGTTGTTCTAAAGCCATACTTAATGATTAACTAATGGACTGATGGCAGGAGGAATTCAGGACACAAACGAGGCAGAGTCAAATCAAAGTAAACCAAACACAAAAGACAGATGAAGAAATAGATTAAACCTGAGATTGACAAGTCAAAAGCAAAATATATATGCAAAACCAGTTTGCCTGTTCATGTTACTACTTAGACTGAACTACCTCGAATTCCCTCTGGAGGATGCAGTGGCTGCTGAGCAGGAAACAGTCTCGATACAGTGCTTAAAGAGAAAAGTAGTCTCCTAAGTCCTACATTACCTATTTCTTAGGAGTTTTGAATTCATATTTTAAATCTGGATTGGGAGAGATCTAGACCTGTTCAGTATCTCCAAAACCCCAGAACATTTCTACCTAGATATACTGAAGTGCCAAACAAAGAATAAAAAGAATAAATCCACATTTAACATGCTGTGCTGCCTTTTTTTTTTTTAATTTTTTGGTTGCTGCTTTTGTTGTTCTATTGTTAAAGCTAAAAGGAGGGCCAGTATGGGAGTAGTAATGAACAGTAAAGGTGTTGATGTGGATGGGAGAATAGGTTCTTTGAGGAATAGTTTAACCCCATCTGCTACACGTTGGAGTAGGCCGTATGGGCCCACAATGTTTGGCCCTTTTCGGGATTGTATGTAACTTAGGATTTTTCATTCTACTAGTGTGAGAAATGCTACGGCAATTAGGATTGGGATTGCTGCTTTTGTTATTCTATTTAAAAAAAAAAAAAAGTCAAGTTATTCCCTGGCAAGACCAGAGCTGAATAAATGTAATCAAATAACTAACTTTTAAGATTCGTACACATACAGAACTCTTATGGACCTCAACAAGAGTCAGCATTGCAATTTCATAGATCACCTGCTGTGAAAAGATTTTGGGCCATACTGTTTAGACACGGCAGGCTCTTATCAGCACGTTCATGGACCTTGCACTGACCTCCTGGAGCCCCTGTGTATGCTCAGGGAACCAGTACAATTAAAGTACAGGAGATCACTGGGTGTCAGCTGCTCCCACCCCCAGCAGGGCAATGGACATGCTTGACCCAAAGTAAACATACACTGAATCTCATATCCTGTTCTTCATCCATACAAAACTCCCTGACTGTTGAGAGGCTTTGCTGCCCTCAGGAAGGTGGGATGTGGGTTCATGCATAGCCACATGCCATATATTAACCTATGTTTCCCATCAACATGGATAGATAATCATTGGGTGCCTCAGAGACAGTAAATACTAATGTAGATTCTCCTTATTTGCTAAGTGTTTATGGCTACCTAGAAGCTAGATAAATAAACAGTATTTCTGTTTAGTCTTAAATGAGTCTTTTAGGCCAAAAAAGCAAACTCAAACTTTACACTGTCATTTCCTGTCTATGTGCCATTCTGTTGAGGTTACTGGTGATTTTGATAATACTGATGCAGCTAGTTATTTAACGCAGTGATTTCAACAAGTGTCTGCTTTGAATACAGATGAGCACAAGAAGCATTTTCATTGAGTGAACACATGCAGAAAGCCATCATGTTTGCCAAACACAGCCAAATGTTACTTGCAAATGGAAGAAAAGTTGTGAGTATAAGCATATTGCGATGGAAAAGCAGGCAATATGCCCATTTCGTACTCAATAATAATAATTTTCAACCTTCATTTTGCACAGAGTTGTTATAAAGTATGCTACAAGGTATATAATGGCTGATTGCTTTTCTATTAGTCAGGGGGTTGGGGACGGCAGAAAGTCCTTGAAGCTGTAATTGTTCGTTTTGAATAACTTCTTAATATAAAGAAATATAACAACAGATTGATAGGAAACACAGCGGCAATTAATTGACTAATTTTCAAGTGTTGAGAAAAGATGAATTTATGTTTGGGGGATGGGAGAGAAAAAGCTACATAGAAATAAGATTAAATCTCGGCAGATTCTGTATTTTAAAAGTATCCCTAGAAAACCTAAGATCATCTGCTCTGTCCTTTAACTACTGTACAAAATGCACATTTTCAGTACGAGTTAAATACACAACAGAGAACACAGGAAAGCCATAACAACTGAACAGCTTTTGAACAGCAGAGTTACACGAGGTCTTGGGAAGCTGTATTCACTGGTTGGCTTTGGAAGACCATTTTTTGAAGGTGGTGGTATTAACAATCCAGATGGTAGTCTAGAGTCAGGAGAACTCCTAGGAGTAAGCGTAATGGAAGAGATATCTATACAAGGAGGTGAATCCTCATTGTTACACCAGAAAAAAGTAGAGGGTCTTTGAAACATATGCTCATCATTATCACACTTTATGTGCAGCAGCTGAAAAGGAATCACAGAAAGAGAAAACATTCTGAGGAACAGAACGTGGTAACATCAGGAAAGAAGGAAGAAACACATATTTTATATTTCAAGAAAGTTTGTCAGCCACTTGCTGTTCAGTGCTACAGTTACAAGATACAGACAGTGAAAATATTTTAAACCAAATTCTAAAAATTTACCACAGTAAGAGGTAGCCCAGTGTTAAGTGGCGTGAAGATCACTTGCTCCTTGATAATGACACCAAACAAAATGAAGACAGGCATCTTTCCCAAAGTGGGTGTGTCAGATGCACTGACAAGTGTCTAAATCCAACAATGTATCAGCAATATCTCCTATCTGCAATGTAAATTAGCAGGTAAGCACTGATCTGGGGAGCAGAGTTACGCTGGTGGTTAGAGCACAGGTCAGAATTTTCTTTCTCCAAACCAGGAAACACATACTATTTATATTCCACCAATATTTAAAGAAAAGTTAATTATTTAACTAAAATCTTCTTAAGGTACAAGCTCACAGCGCACAGATTTTAATGATTACATTAATACTAGACTTTGCTTCAGTTCCCTTTCTACAGAAATTGAGAACCTAAACATTTATGGTCAGTAACACCCTTCTGCCATCTTTGCTGTGTGGATGAATAACTAGCTGAACTCAGTATTTTCAGTAGGTATCTCAAGAGCTGAGATTCACTGTTGCAAAGCAAAGGAATCCTTGTGTCCCTACAAGAGCAGCACAGGATGCGGGATGGAATAACGTTTTGCTGCCGGGGAAATAAAAATGTTGATGATTGCAAGATTCTCTGGATCTCTTAACAAATCCACAGAACAGCTTTGAACAGAGGCAAATGACTAATACCCACACCAGAATGCAGGTGGTAGGAGTGTCCACCTAAGGTGACAAATGGGTAACTGCAAGGTTCTGGTCCGAATCAGACAGAGAGTATTTGACTACATATTCCAGCAAAACTCATTGTGTATTGAGAGGAAAGCTGAGGGCTGTGTCCACTTTGGAAAAAAAAAAAAGAACCAAAACCCCTTAATTTTCTGCCCAAAGGGGAAACATTTGCAATCCTGAAAGGTTTCAAAACAAATGGATCTTGTCTAGGTGAAATTAGAAACAAAAAGCCTTTAGCACTGATCCTGGAAAGAAAAGGAAAAAGGAAATGTCTTTAAATATTTAAGAAACAGTCTCAACCAATTTTTCTGTTGGGGCCAGGTTATAATTCCTGTCTCAAAACTGGAGGAAAACAGCTTTGGGCAGTTAAAGCAAGGCTCTAGAGAAGGACAGATTCATCTTTAACCTTATCAGAAGGGACTGAACACTTGTGCACATGGTTCCTGGCTGCAGCAAGAGTTTATATGCTGAGGAGGCAGGAATTGGATCTGTGCTGGAGGTACCTTGCCCAAAAAACCCTCCTACTTGCCCAGGCTGAAGCAGTGGTAGGTATGTGCAGCAAAAATTTTGCAGCAAAAAAAGTGTGCTTTCACTCTCTTCATACAAATTACACAACCCATATGAGATGGTTATTTCATTAGAGGTTTGCATAACTCCAGTAGAGCAGGATTTAATCAATGACCTGAATCAATTTTTTCATAGCAGAAAACAAAATATTTCAAATCCTTATAAACTAAGTCTTGGTCACTTCTTTACATATAAATTGGGTTAAGACTGCAGATACCCAGATTCTGTAGCAATGTCATACTTGTGACAACACCAAACACACCACAGAGCACTACCCAAAAGTTGCAATTCAAAACCAATGTTCTTATCACAGTTGCAAAGAACTCCTCTGTTGCCATGCTGGAACTGTGAAAGAGAGGGTTTGGAATGGCAATCGATAAAAAACAAAGGAAAAAATGACAAGAAATCATACCAATATAATTTGGTTATAATTTCAAGAGTATCACTAGACTGCAGTTAGAAGAGTTGCAGCATGTAACTACTACAGAGTAAATACTAACATGTAATCCTTGCTACTCTACATATCTAGGGAAAAAATAGATCTCTTAAGAGTAAAAGCTGGAAGATACTAAATACCAGCAGTTAAATTAAGGAAACAAAATACCTCCATGAAATGCTAAACAGCCGAGGATGAGTAGTTCCCATAAAAATGCGTGTATATCACATGAAGTACATCATGCAGAAACCAGTAAAATGTATACAGGAGGCAAAGCAGCAAAACTATAAGGATGATGAACATATATTAAATAATAAATTAAATGAAAGGTTTCAATCCAAAACCAGAACATGGACTATTTGTACCACTCAAGCCCAGAACATTTAGCAGTCATGTGTCCTATTTATGCAATACGCAATAATCCTAGGGCATTTCACACCATATATAATCAATGGTTTGGGTTGGAAGGGACCTTAAAGACCATCTAGTTCCAACCCCCCTGCCATGGGCAGGGACACCTTCCACTAGACCAGGTTGCTCCAAGCCTCATCCAGCCTGGCCTTGAACACTTCCAGGGATGGGGCATCCACAGCTTCTCTGGGCAACCTGTGCCAGTGCCTCACCACCCTCTCCAGGAAGAACTTAGGGTGAAGCAAAATATGTGGGGCTTCAAATGACAGTGTGGGAATGTGTCTTGTCAATCATGCGTTTTCACTAGCAGTGCTTCCCTTGCACGGCCACAGGGAAGCCCAGCACCAGGCACTGGGACCCGTGCTGCGAGCGCTGTTTGCATCTTGCAGCCCACGTCCCAGGGAGACCCGCAAGGCTGAGGGAGGCTTCCTGCTTACAGCCCTTCCTGTTCAAGCAGCCCACGGACAGGGCAGGTAGAGCCACACAGCGTATTCGACAACGGAAATCAAGAAGGGGAAGGCCATAAAGTGCAGGACCACACAGAAGACTTAAAATGTAGAAAGTATCACCAGATTCAGAAAATGCGGGAGGAGAAGGGAACAGACCTTTACTTTAAAGAATAGAACCTAAAAAGCATATAACTTCTGAAAATGAATACTCTTACACCAAATTGTAAAGGAAGCAAATACAGTAAAAATATATAAAATTACCATTTTATATGGCAAATGTATTTTGTCTGAGCTTCCCACTGTTTATCACTAAACATGCAGTTTTGGTCAGGTTGATGCATTACTTGCCAGTTTAGGCCCCATTTCACCAACACAAGAAAACAACAACAGACCATTCTCCATAAAATGAACACAGTAGTTCAGCGGTCTCCACCACGATCAGCTGTCATGTGGCTGTCAAAGGATTCCGGTTTAACTCACTGTACTTCTCGTGATGCTGAAGATGCACTGTGTGGCTGCAGCATACTAGAGAACGTAACGCGACTGAGATTTTGTTCATCAAAACCATTTCAAACGTGTTTGCTTTCGCTGGGTATCTCAGGACACGGATTGCAATCTCTGTGTCACATACGGCCATAGGACCATCTAAGTGTGTTAATGACTTAGATGTTTTCTTCCTCAGAACATTTAAGTTGGTAATACACAGAACAGCCATCGTGCATAACTGGAACCGTGTGTGACCTTGAATTGGAAATTATTGTCATTTATTACAAAACCACTAACTGCAACCTACCTGACATTTGGGACTACTAAGGATATAACAATTGACTCATTCATAAAATACTGCATAAGCATTAGCAGTTTCGTTAATGAACTGCTACATCTTTGGTTCATTTAGTACTTTTTCAGTAATATGACATCTGACTTAGGCAAATTAAAATTTATTTTTTTATCACAAACACAACAGAATTTTAAGCCCTCATGAAGAAGTGCTCGCTGCCTGAATAGAGAGTATTATAAAATTGAAAAAGCAGAAGATAGCTGAAGCAAACACACGTGCATTTCCCCACTTGACAGCCTTAATGGAAACATGAATCAAGCGATATGCCTAGCCACGTTCCCCAACTGCTTCCTGAAATGTGCACACTGTTGCAATGTCTGTCTTGGGGTTTTCTCATGAGCATGCTAAAGCATTTTAATGAGTTTAATAGGTGCAGGTGGCCTATGCTTCTGAGTCACAATTAAAGAGCTTTAAAAAAAGGTCTAATCAATCAGTATCTTTAATATCCCATTTAAAAATAGAGCCCTTTTGTAACACTGTCATGATAAGAACGCTTACTACTACTCTGACAATCCTCATGGGGAGTGGAAGAACACCACTGCTTTCGTGGCTTTCTCCCAATACCTTTTCCTGCTGCCTTTCAGTGCTGCTTCTCTCATATTTCAGCGTTCTCTCTTTTAAGGTCTTCTCCTGAATATTCCTGTTTTCTTGTCTCTAACTTCAGTGTCATGCAGCTGTCACAACCTCCCTCTCAGCCTTAAGCACGTTGCTCGAACAGACAACCTTAGAGGCATGCCTGAGAAACTTCAGCCAAGTCCAAGCCACATTCAAAGTCTCATCTCATCAGAGGTTCCTTAGTGACCTATGGCGGTTCACTGTTCAGTCTGCTATAAAAACGGAGGGTGCTAAGTGTTGGTAACTGCTAACCCACAGGAAGGCTGTGTACAGCCATCCCAGGCTGCTCTAAGCAACACGAACAGTAGACAAAAATGTACCTACAAAGCAAAAAATGACAAGCAAAATAGCTCTCCCAGGGACGCACTGATCTCCGGAGGTTGGATTTACACATAGGAGCAGCATCCAAAGTCTGACTGTGATACAGACTTGAGCAGTGTCATCGTAAGCAAACAACAAAATGAAAATCAGATTGTCCTCATATAATCAGGACCAAATGCAGAAGAGAGCAGTGATTAATGTATTGCCAAACCGCTAACACAGATAAAAAGTAAACAGCACAGATATAAAAGTAATGGAAACTTCAGCTGTACACGCAAGGGAGCGAGAGACAAAGGACACATCCCATGCCAACATTTCCCATGGCACATGTAAGCGCAGCTAGAAGGGCAAGCTACTCTAAGGAAACTCCTAGTTTGGTCTAGTATGTCCTTGACAGATCCGTTCAGGAAATGGGGAAAAAAGTGACAGTGTCTCTTGTGAAACACTTCTGCAGTGGCAAACACTGGTATTTCAGGGGCTAACTTTAAAGTCTTAGCAAGACTAGGCTACTTAAAAACATCAACCCACAAGTAGAAAAAATGATCGCTAAGCAGTTTTCTGAATGGGCTGAACAAACAAAAATATTTACAATACTCTGAGAGGAAAAGTGTGCAAAAAGATTGATAATTTGATGTTTAACTTCCACAATACATTTTATGCAAAAGTACCTGATTATACAATGCAGTTGTCTCTTTTTTTTAATTTCCAACTATGATCTCAGTGCTGCTGATGGCTTCTCTAATAGGTTCTTTTCCCCATAGTATACGAACTGTTAAAAAAAGCACCTAAATACGACTGATGTTGATTTGGCCATTTGTCTATATTTAGAACAGCAGCAGAAAAATGTTCACATTGATACTAATAACCAAGCAATAAGATAATGCTGACAGCAACGTGTTCCTCAAAGCAGAAATCAACTGCTGTCAGTGCTTTGCAGCCGATTACCCATCGCAGAGACGTAAAAGGTAGGTAACTACCTTATTCATGCATGCAGTCTGTACCCATTTCAGTCTGACAGTATTCTTTTAAAATAACTCCTCAAATTAACCTTTCTATGGCCTGAAAAAAAATTGGAACACAAGCAAGAAAAATCAGGAAAGCAGTTCTAGACAGATTTCCCTTTTTATTTCCTAAACAAGCCTGTAACTTGTAGTGCTTAGGAAGGGGAGTGAGCAAAGTCACTTCTAATTTGGTATTATTTTCAATTTTCATGTGTGAGTGGATTTTTTAAGTAGAGCAATTGAGGGCTCACAATAAACACCCACATACTCCAATTTATTATTGCTGCCTAAAAAAGAATGTTATTAAAACAATTAGTAATGGATGTTTTAACTAGAAAAATACACTCTCACGTTTGAAGTTATCAATCATCTGAAATAGGTTTAGTTCTGTGCTTAAAATGCAGCTTCAGCTTACAATCCACTGCTTACATTTTCTTCTCTGAGTTAGACCGCTGACAGACTTTGGATAAGTCACTGTGTGTGATACTCTTTGGACACATTCTGATGGCAGAGAACAGCAAATTAAGATGTCTCAGAACGATGTTTTGCAAATACACTGTTCTACATTATTACCCAAAAGTTCAATATGTGAGTCCATGACCAACTCCTTTTAGGGAAGTAAAAGTGTCAGTGAGGTCACATACTGCTGTCCAGCCTGGGACATCTATTTTGTTCTTGAGCATCACACATAGGAAGTAACATCTGTGACAAATTACTGACAAAATATTTTGAGATCATTTTGGAAGCAAAGATCTGAATTTTATATCTTGATAGTATGTAATTTGATATTAAGTATGAATTCCAGCAAATGGCTTTATGTAGGTTCTCATATTTAGTTAGCAATATTAGATGTGTTTTAAATGACCACAGGAAGTTAGAAAAGTATACTTTAAATGACAGTCTGGATGTTTCTCCTTAGAACTGAATGAGAAGACTATTTTTTTTTTTTAATGTGAAATGAACCAAGTATTTAATGCTCTATTTATTGTTCTATTTAACAATATTAGATGTGTTTTAAATGACCACAGGAAGTTAGAAAAGTATACTTTAAATGACAGTCTGAATGTTTCTCCTTAGAACTGAATGAGGAGACGACTTTTTTTTTTTTTTAATGTGAAATTAACCAAGTGTGTAACGCTCTATTTAATGCTCTACACATATTAAGTTATCCACCCACAGTTTAAAGAAGCTCTCATATTCTATTGTCTTTTTGATACTGAAGTGAGAACAGGAGGTGCAGTTTGGTCCTGGTTCATCGGAAAATGGTCTGGACTCAGAGGACTTGAGCTTTAGCTTCACCCTCAGGTAAAGCAGAAACAGATTTTCTTTTTCTTCTGAATAACTATCGTGTGAAGGGTCAGTGAAATAATGCAAAAAGAATCGAACTTTGAATTTCTCAAGTATTTCCTACCTACTTCATACCATTAAAAATTAATGTGAATGCTAATGTGTCTAGAATAATTAGACACCAAAATCGATCAGCTTGAGAAGGAAGAAGCAGGAGTAAAGAAATGATAGACTGGCACTGCATACAAATGGTACCATGGCTTCTCAGTTACTGAAAGTGGGAAAGACTTTCTGCCCTAGATGAGGATTTTAGCAAATAAAGCACGACAGTGCTGTCGCTTGGTGTCTGTAACAGCACCGCTTCACAGTACTGGTGCAGTAAGCACTTAATGGCTGAAGTCATCCCTCACAGGGAAGCAAAATCCATGCCCAGTGCCTGCCTGAAATTATGTCTGCTCAGACGCCAGAGCTTGCGGTTCCCCTTCCACAGGGGTGGGGATTGAAGGAGAAGATGATGTAGCACACAACGTGATTTCAATGTCTGCATTTCTCATGTTCTGTGAGCTGTCATGACAGGCCCTTGCAGTACCTTCTGCTTCTTTAAGTATACACTTGTTGAATCAAGTTGCTAGTGTTGCCTTCTGAAGGGCTAAATCTAAAGTGCTGGCTACCAAGTGTGTCTGTGACCGTGCATTAATCACTAGAGGAAGAGCACAGTCAACACCTGTAAGACAGCAAAGCCATTTCAGCACATCTGGCAAACCCTGAGACAGCACAAGCAGTGTGCAAACAACCAAATACAAACAGGAAAGCAGAAGATAAGAAAATCCAAGGCACTATTTGAAGCATAAACAGAAGCAACTTTATAACCATCTGTGGCTGGCTTGTGAAAATGAACATGTCTTTACAAGTGACCGAGATGGCAGTTAATGGCACACGTTTTTGATCATATTAGTATCAAGTGTAGGGGCTTAAACTTGCCATTGATCGTTAAACGATCCCTCCCTAGGCCTCAGCACACAGTGTCACAGCAAACTGGACTGGAATCTAAGGAGTTATAGCTGTATCAAATTAACTAAATATAAAAAAAATCTACTTAGTACGTCTTAAAAAGCTTCAGAAAGTTCTAGTACGGCACTGGCATCTCTTTGGAATTCAGTAAAATGGATATGAGAGCTGTGAAAAAACCTAAATGTTATAGTTTTATAAATCTGCTTTGAATTGTGTTGTGTAGACAGCATGTAACGTGAAGAATACCTGCAGGGAAGCAAGTTTTCCCCCATTTAACCAGAAGTACTTAGGAAGTGACTCAGGTGAGGTATAACACATACTCACTGTACCAACAGTAATTAACAATAAAACACCCTGTACAGAGAAGATACAAATGGCTGCCAAATTTACAATTTTAGCCCTTAAGTCATTAATAAGGACTTAGGCACCACTGTCTTAAAAGACAAAATAAACATAAAGGAGCGCTATAAATGCTGCAGGAAATACTTTGGTCATTGTTTATAATTTTAATTCTTTTGCTAAATGCAATTACCAAGTTCTTCATTAATTTAAGAGAAAGAGAAATGCATCTATCACAAGAGACTTAAAAGCCTGTTTAGTTGAATTCAAAGATACATTCTGTTATTATATTCATAAGTAAAATCAAACTAGCTGCCATCATAATTCAGGAAATTAATCAAAATTAAGGAAAATAAACTAAGGAATTTACCACAATGACTGTAAATCTAGCATTAACAATGGTTACCTTTCACTGAATGCTTTGTAAGTGAGAAGACATCCATAATTTACAGTTTTCACTGTGGGGGTACGCAGTATTTATAACTTCTAAGATTGTGCTACATGTACATTAAGAAATTTTATTTATTGTCACAGTTACCTAATGCAGTACAGACAGAACATGCTGTAAGAAGAGAGGAGTCATTAGGATCAGTCTGCAAGGCAATGGGCATTGTCAGAGGTCCTGCCTAGATACAACTGTCAGTCATTTAAAAATAGCTTTGACACGGGCATCTACAGCAACTGCAGAAAACGCTAGAAATTCCCAACCATGAGGGACCCACACTTGCTCCTTTTTACCTACCCACTCAGTGTTAGCTCCTGAGACCTAATGACTCCTTCGAGACAGGCAAGGTTTTTAAAAAGTCACTTAGAAAATGCCAGTTGTAAGTGACAATATGCTCGTGACAAAGTTCCCAGAAAAATCCACAGCAGCATTTTTGAACCAGATCGTTTAAGTGCCGAATAGAGTTCTTCATCATTAGGTGGAACACTTAGGTGTCTGCTAGGAGTATTTACTGTCCTTAGGCAGCAACAAATAGCTAGGACAAGGGGCTGAAAGAACCACAGTTTGAGAGACTGCAATTTACACTTTTGTAGCCTTGGCACAATCTTACTGTCGCTTCAGTACTGCATTTCAGCAGCTGTGACCCGATCACTGTGTGTTCATCGTAATCACTGCAAACAGCACCGATGCTAATGATCATGGCACAATGATTATAAGCTTAGAGTAACTTCAGACGTGAGAGCTGCGTTCATGTACTCACCGGAGATGCATGTACTTGTGTTATTCTTAACTGGTTTTCCAGATCTTGAACTTTATTTTTCAGCTCTGTGTTTTCAGTTTCTAATTCTTGAATCTACAAAGCAAGTGGTTATTGCAGCAGCTACTGGGATATTCAGTTCAACAACAGCGTCCACTGAGCGTAAGGATCTGAGATCCGGTGATTTAGAAGCCACCGTTAACTAGTTATCTGATTACAAAAAATAATTAAACTTCAATTTCTGTATCTTCCATATTTCAACCTTGCTTTTCTCTAATGAGCTGGCAAGATGGCAACACATAAAACACTGTTTCACAATTATCAGGTGTTTTTTCAGTTTTCTTTTTCCTTATTTGTTGCAATTCTTAGCAATCTGAGAGTAATACTGGAAATTATGCTGTCGCAGAAAGCAGGTAACAGAAATACAGCAACATATTCTTCTATCTCTTTAAAAAATATGGTTCAGAACTTACTCTTTTCTGTAAACCTGCAATTTGTTTCCTTGTTTCAACATCTTTTCCTCCAGATTCCAGAAATTTCCTGTAAGCTAAGTCAAATGCTTGACCAATTGTTAAAGTTATCTCTTCCGCCTTTACAAAAAACATAAGATTGAAATTAGTATATTAAGAATAATTAAGATTTAATTACTTTCATTTCAGATGATCACAAAATCCTTTACACCATGTATCACGTTCAAAGGGTTTGCTTCATCCATCATGAAGTCAACACAGCAAAGGAGCATGGCACACACTCTTCAGCAAAATATCTTGACACAAAATACTATGAAAGCAACTTAAAAACACTTCAGATAAAGAAGGGAGACTGAACAGGCAGAACACAATTAGCTAGTTGTTAGTATAAACTAAGCCTCTAACTTCTGTAAATACAGATACCATGCTGCAGTACGTCATATGATGACGATTGCTGAAGCAAATACAGGCTTTTCAATCATTAAATAAATTGGTTTAGTTTTAATGGATTCACGTTTTCATGTTAAGCGATGTTTTACCCCTGCTGCTTTTAAATTTGGATGACAACACTTATTTTCAGAAGTCCTATAAAATCTCAATCGGCACAGTGTAGATAAATGTATTCACCTGCGCAAATACTTCCAGTTACAAAAATCCCACCAAACAGAATTTGCATTTGTGTGTGCAAAATACAGTAATTGAGTAGTTCTGTGCTGATTTGCATCATACACTCTGATGTGTGCACATGCTCTGTGTGCAACATCTACTTTTAAAAAAAGAGGGGTAAAAATAAGCATACCCGGGTTCCAGAAAGAAATGCTAACTTACAAGAGGCACCAATAAGAGGTGAACACACGGATATGCTTAGAGCTTTAGGAGAGAAAGTGAAGATGGTACCTTTTCTTTAAACAGTGTGGCAGGGGAACTAAAAAAAAATGGGAGTAAAATTGATCTAGCTAAAAATAAACTAGAGTTTCCTTCTTCATTGAAACGAAACCCTGAGAGCGGTTGTTTCTGCTGAAAGCAGAGCATTCAGTGCTATGCCGCCAACGTTTTCCCTTCACTACCCGTAAGAACATGAAGGGCTGGGTGCAGAAAGTGTACGGAACGTGATTCTTCCAGCCTTTCCCCCCCAGGCAGGGATCCTTTGACATCCGAGCGTACCACTGAACAAGAGTGCGAGGGAGGAAAGTAGCCTGGCAGTGGAGTGTCAGGGCAGAGCGAAGCGGTGCACTGGTTTGGAGAAGAAACGACACTAGTGGCAGATACTGGAAGGGCAATTTAAAAATCATAGGAACCTGTGAAAACGAGACACGGGATAGAAATTTGAAGAGAAATGAACAGATATGTATAGCAGTTCTGAGTGACAGCTACTGAAGGCACTGGGGCAATGCAGGGGAACAACAGCCATCAGCACCACAGTGAAGAAACACAGTGCCATATAACTGCATATAAAAAGATGTAACTGCATATAAAGAGAAGTGAATATGCACCTTTTTCTGAGAAAAAAAAAAGTTTCCTTAGTATTTCCTTTGCCTGATACCTCAGATACTTTAGAATAAATCAAAAGGAGAGACTCTAAATTATAAACCTCCTGGATATCTATTTTTGGTGTTGGTTCCAGTGTTTTCAGTTGTTAATTACTTTCTGCCAGGGTAGACACAGGACCCTGTTTCAGCTAGACACCATCTTCTTAATTTTCAAGTTGCCTGGGTTTTTTTTTTTTCCTTCTTTTTTTTTTTTCCTGCTATTGCACATTTTTGAACACTTGCCCTGTTCTGTCTTAGACCCGAGAGAATGTCAGTGGTTGGTGCAATGAATTCTCTGGTAGTGCATCATACCATTAACAGACTTGAAAGATGTGGAGGAGGGTGGGCAGAGAAGGGGGAACCTTGCTGCCAAAAACAGAATCACAAATAAAAACTTGAGGCAGAGAGATGCGCACAAGAGCCCGTGAGGGCATCTCAGCCACGGGGTTGCAGCCACCGCTGCAGAACTCTGTGCAAACGTTTCAAGCTTGGTGGGATGCAGCCTGTTCTGAGAGTTTTGCAGATGCCTGGCTTAGGGTGTCGAGCTGGACAGCAAGAAGAATGGTCCCAGGATACCACCCGAGATCAATGAAGGAAAAGGCTCTCCTTTAAATTAATGCATCTACCTTACAAGACACTGTGAAAGACTGTATCAAAGTCTTCCCAGTTAAAAGGCAGACTCTCTGCCTTCATTAACCATTCCTGTTTTACTTCAAAGCAGAGCAATCAAAATCTGTAACAGGCACACCCATTCTTTTAAAGCATCTTGCATACTTACACACTTTTCACTGTCAAATACATAGCACAGATGCTTATTTGATTCTGAGTCTTTGCATATGAAAGTAAATATTCTCTTGTCGGTTTTATCATCAGCACAAAACGATATCCTGTGGAGTTGGCAGTTGTGCTGGACCTCCTGCAAATAACGAGAAAGATGATGTTCAAGAAAACACTATGCTTGCTCAGCAGCAAGATGCACAAAGTAGATCTCTGGATTTCCTCACGTACGTAACAGCAGGCAAGTTGCAGTAACATTTCTGAATGTCTCTCATTGTATATGAGTGCACCCACAAGTAAAGCATAACTGAAGTTAGCAAACTCTTCTCCTAGCACGTGTTCCCATTTTTACTAAATGTAAGCAGGAAGTTTTCATATGGACAGCACTTATCTAGAAGCGTTTATTTGGACAGTAAATTCTGTTCTAGAAAATTGGTTTGATTGTTGCTTTGCGTCCCTGTATAATTTATTTAGTGACTGATTGGGACGATTTCATCATCTCCCAAGGTCTGTCAAAACAGTTTTGCTGAAATAAGTCCTTACCTTTCTATCTTAAATACAGAAATCAAAATGAAATACAGGGGCACAGAGAAATAAATGAGACATCTAAATAATTGCTTACTTAAGGTGCAATATAAACAGCCTGCAAACGTGATTCTTCAGGTATTTTTCATAGTCCATTTTACTTCCCATTACAAAGCATGCTTCAGGTATTTAAAACAGTTGCAGTGGCAATGCTCTTCAACTGAGAGAGCTTAACATGACTGAAATAAACGATCTCAACTATTTTTTTTGTTGTTTTCCTTCAACAAGTCTCCTCTTGGTATTTTATTTTATTTGGCATCTTACATGGGAAAGCAGTATTTGCTTTAAAGGAAAATATGCAGTTTAGATGTGAACTATTATCTATTAACTACAAGAAAGTTTCTGTGCAGCATGGGGTTCCCAGATTGCTAGCAGCTCATAAACAAGGGCATGTCCTCTCTGCACACAACCATTTATCAAAAAACCCATACCATATGGGCAATCTTTTCCCGTTGCCCCAACTGGGTTCCTTTTCTCACCCTTTACAGCCATTCTTCTGCGTATCCTATTTCTCTCAACTCCCCAGATCTCTCTCACATTTAATCTCTTCCTGTTGTAGCTCCTCAACAATGACATATAACAACACATGCCTGTTCTGCCTCTTATAGCTTTATAGATCCATATAACTACTTGACATCACTTAAGGACAGAACCACTTGACTATAATCCTCCTTTTTTGAGTGTTAAGTATGGAATCAGGTCCTGATACATGGAGCTGGCCGCCTGTTCCTACCACAATTAATAGTCATCACATGAATATAAACCAGTGTTTCTCTGTAACAATATTCAAGCGAGTTGTTTCAAAAACACACAGAAAAATTCTGATCAGTGAAGACAACATGGAATTTAAATAATTGCCTGAAGCATCTATGAATTTTGCAAAAAGAAGGAAAGCTTGATTCAAATTTAGTGTCACATAGCTTTAAGAAACAAAGTGGAGGAGATGAAAAGAGTACTCATAGCTGATTACCATTTGAGTCATAATAACAACATTGCTAGGAGATTAGAATGTTCCCATTCCCCCAGGAACTTCTGTCCCGCAGCTTTCTGTTCACCTCTGCAGGAAGAGTTAGGAAGACTAACATATTTTGGTATTTAAAACTGGGTTATTTTAAACAGCCTTTGCCAGAATATGGGGTTTAATGCACCTTTCTGCCCTACGACACAGGGAGATGTGCAATATGCAATTAAAGTGGACCTGGATGTTCCTTGCCCTGTCCACTTAGGAACTGTTGAACTGTGGTTGAATCTAGACTCTGAAGCAAGAATGGGTCGTAAGTACAGGCAGCCTTCAGCTACAGCTCCTTTTCTGCAAGGGCAGTATCACTGAAAGGCAGCAATTACTCCAGAATCCAGCAGCAGTAAGAAAGTTCATTCAAATCCAATATTCAACATATGTATAAAAGATTCCAGAGCACTCAGATGTTAGGAATTGCTGAATATTGACTAAATACTTTCTAGCTTGATTGTATTCATCTCATTATTCCTCTTTGAAGTCCGTAAGGAAGATGTTTTCCTTACTATGTAACCCCTTCCAAAACAGCAGAGCAAACAAAGGAACAGAAAAGCCATCCACGGGATGACTCAATGGACATAAATTGTCATGCTGCGCCAGATGAAAAGCCTACAATAATGCTTATGGTCTGCTGCATGGACTTGACAGAGAAATGGGTCACACAGCTGAGAAACGTAAGCGTTCTAGGGAGGGGAAGGTACAATAAAAATAAAAAACACAAGGAGAAAAAAATAAAAGACATGAAGAGATTAAGGAGAGAGGTGCAATTCTGAGGCAGCAGCATGAAGAATAAGGCACTGTCCACAAAGTCTCTCCTCATTCTCCTGCAAACACCTACACGTGGGCACCTACACACGGTGACCATTTGGAAAGGTGTGTATCATATGTGGTATTAACGTGTATTTACCATGGTGTTACCGTCTTCCTCAGAGTTTAAAAGTTTTGGTGTGAAAGGATTAAAAAAAATTAAATTTCATGTGTTTTGGAGTACCACGTACCTTCCCGGGAAGGCATCACCCATGTGTTGTAACAAGAAATGGCATTTAAAAAAAAATTCCATCAAGAGAATGGCTTTCATTGTAATTTTCGTTATAAACGTAAGCCAATAGAAACATTAAAAACAGTTAAAACAATATTTAATTACCAGTGTAGCACCACAAATACACAGGTCTCTTACCTTTGTTTTTGGATCTAGAATTTTTACACCATAGATTGAGATTTGTAACTCAACTTTGGGAGTCTTCTGGCCTTCAGATTTCTTGATATGTCTTGCAAACTGTAAGATGAAAATTGTGACAGCAATCGCATCAATAGCAAGTCTATTTTTTTAGTACCTCTCATTTCCTCTCAACTCCTTCCAGCTGCTGTCGTTTCCGTCCTTCTTCTCTTACAAACAATGCCAACCATTCCCAAAGTCACAGTTGGGCACAGAACAGCATTTCTGATTGCACATTACAGAAAATTCCTATAATTCCAGAAAATAATATTTTAAAACTTCTTAGCTGGTTTCTCTTGAAACTTTTATCTGCTGTTTGTGCATTTAATTTAAGGTTTTGTGTGAGATTTCTAGGAGAAGAGCAGAAACATAACACTTTCAGACAGTTTGTGAACTGCTCAGTTGTTGAGTAGCAAACATGGTTGTGTTTTCCATATCCCACCTTTCCCACACTCACTTCTGTACACATGCACGGATGGTACTTCCCCTGTGCTCCTCTGAGGAAACCAGTTCTTTGAAGGAGGTTCAGTGTGAGAGCACTGCAGCTGTCAACAGCTAAGAAATACCTGACCCCTTCAGTCACCTGCTCAGGATGTATGTGCTAACAGTTCACTAGATGGTGGCTGGACAATGTTTCATGTGACTGGCTTGGGTGACGTGTCCTATTCAATACATTTTCCAGCCTTTTATGTCTCCCCTTCTAGCTGCTGGATCCGACTTGTCTGTGTCTCATGGACACCACGTATAGAGCAAGCAGGGTTTCTAAAACTCGTACGGCGTGCCAGTTAAGAAGTGTCATGAATCTGGGTAACTTTCTTAGCCAAGATGCGGAATTGCTGTGTATTTTGCTCCGTTACCAGCCCTTTTCCTCTCAAGTCTGAAAGCCTGGAATGCTTTTTTCAAATGCATGAACAAGGACAATGACTCACTGAAGGAGCTGGAGGCTCTGCTTCACAGCTAAATGTTTCAACACATCCTCCCCGAGCTTGCTCCCACTCAAGTATAAATGAAGACATCATTCACCATCAGTACAGATAAGCTGGATAGGAGGTCAGCAAGGCCAACGACTTCAAGTGGCATAAAGAGTCTGGGATATCAACCAGGGTGCTGACCCATCCTAAAAAGGGTTAAACCTGGAAGACAGAAGTCTGAATTGCCTTGTGATGGTGAAGTGTTCAGCTCCAGCCAGCTGATAGCTCCCCACCCCAAAAGGTTGAAACCACTGATTTTAATTAATTATTTAAGCAATAGTTGAGGTTCAGGGTTTTTGCTCTGTCCCTATTCCTATGCCAACTAGTACTTGGGAAATCTTCCCATGAACTCAGCTGCTTTACACAGTATGACTGTTTTATTTCATTTGTAGACAGCTCCATTCATGGCAAATCATAAACTTGCTTTAAGAACCACCCTAAAAGCACATAAATAACCTGTTTTTCCTTTCCTCCCATATTTATTCCTCATTTCAAAGGCACACTTACTGAAAACTGTAGTAAGCAAACATTAATTTGTAATTATTCCTACCAGCTTAATTCAGTAACAAGACCTATCCAGACAGTTTGTTACTGACTCATGTGTCGCCTTGGCTGGTAAGAATCACACACTACACCACTTCAGAAACCCCACAAACATCCACAAATACAACTAAAGGCCCCACCTAAACCCCCCTATCCTCCTCTCAAAAGCAGCTCTTAAATCTAAATACCCATTTTATGTGTCAATAGCTGGGATTGCTACAATCATTAGCCAAGTATTTTATGAAAGTTCACGCATTATGACTTACTAGTGAAAACCAACTAGTCAAAAGTCAAGCAAGTCTCGCATCACTTCCTGTTCTGCCCCCCTTCAGTACCATGTACACACCTCCTGCGATACGCATATGCTTCTTCTGTTCTACAGTTTCTCCTCAAGAGCATTTCTCATATATTTAGAGTATACTTTTGACAGAATTTAATTGCTATTCCCTAGGCTTTGTTTTAATTAAGGTGGGCCATCTCTATATATATCCTTTTATTAAAAATAAAAAACATTTCACAGGAAATAAACCCCCCAAAATGCTGGTTTACAAGGATTCTGGCCAACAACATTTCTTGACTGCCCATGAAAATTTACATCTCCTACAGGAAAAAAATATTTTTTTATAAATAAAAATCACTAATTAAAAAATCTTAAAAAAAAATAAAAAAAGGTGACTTGATTTTATATTACCTATTTCTCCTGTTAGATTCTTATGGCTTTGCTTTAGGACATAGGAAAATGACAGGCAGTATGTTTTACTAGCACAGTTTTTTTTTTTCTAAGATGAATGTAAAACTGGAACTGTTTTTCAGACCATTTTCACACATTTACTCAACTCCCCGGCTCCACCAGCTTTCCTTATGGATTTGTAATTTGATTATATCCATTTACTGGATAAAGCTTTAAGGACATACGTGTTCCCTTTTCACAGTACACCAAGGTCCCGAGCTTGGCTCACCGTACTCCATGTTAAATGGCATGGCCACAAAACCCACAGACCTGGACAGCTGGAGCATCTCCACTTCCAACATGCTTCATGGCGCACGGTACCAGGCCTATGCAACAGGTAACAACTATGCACACATCGATGTGTAACAGCCTTGAATTTGACCAAACCTTTGCTTTTTGGAAACATCCCTTTATAAAGAGGATGCGCACGAGTATTTCTGTGCAGTAATAGAGGGATAAATAATATTTGGGTTTACTGAGATAAAGCTATAGTGTGTGTTGAGAATGATGATGATGAAGAAACGCTTGGTTTTCTACCTGTTATCATCTCAGAGTCCTGAACAACAGCTACAACGTGAAAAATAAATAGAAAAATTTAAAATGAAGTAGATCTGAATAACTTGCACGAGTTTTAGAACAGCTGGCCAAAACTTGCTCCAAGTAGTCAAGAAGTCTTACAACACTGAGGAAGTTCCAGAAGATAATTCTGAGCCAATACTAAAAAAAAGGGTAAACAAAATGACCCTACCACATCACCGTTCTCCAAAAGCATAAATCAAGCTCAAGAAGTAGTGAATTCAAGTGAGATGAAATTTATGAGGATCAATACGGATTTTAGAAAAACTGCAGCTTGTCAAAATAGACCAAGCGTTTGACTGCGTTTTGCATGCCATTCTGTTGCAGAAGTGAAGCAACACAAAGTATTAGTCGAGTTAGCTACATTAGTGTCCAGATGCAGCTATAAACAGGAAACTGTCATTGGGAAGATATGTTTCTAATGTATTCCAGCAGGGGTTATTTCTTAAGCACGACATTATTGAACGATTACCAGGGGGAAAAATATTACTGATAAAATCTGCAGGCAGGGAAAGAAAAAAAGAAGGGGGAAAAATGGGGAGAAAAGGAACTAATGATCTGAAATGTAGAATCGTTAGAGAGGAGGGCTGCAGAGCATGAAGGCTGATGAAGGGGCAAATATGAGAGACCACCGCACCAACCCGAACACCCCAGGCTGCCTGCATGCAAACAAGCCGTCTCTGCTGCAACGCCAGCTTTGCCACGTCACGCATATGGGAACAGATCTTGTCTGGGGGGAGACAACCCTGTGAAGATGGAATTAAGATGTCATGGCAGGCTTTCGGCGAACTGCGGACCTTCTCATGAAACTACATTTGGGAAGACTAATGCAATCCTTGGATATTTGAAAGACATCCTCACAAAGACAGTAACTACTGTGCTGCATCAGCTGCTTGTGAGATGCTGCTCGAATTTTGTGTTCTGAGGTTTTCAGATGCAGAAAGATGTTGACAAAATGGAGGAAGACCACAGGATATTTGCAAAAGTGAGCAGAGGACTGGAAAGCCACTTTGTATGAAACTCCATCAAATCAAAACCAAGCTGGTAGTGAAAGAAAACCCCAAAAGAATCTCTTCAACACAGACATCCAGAGAAACAAGCTTTTTCGTCAAAGGTTTACTGAGACACAGTGACTGAAAAGTACACACAGGCAAACTCAGAAGATGTGGTGCAGTTACTGTCTTAAAGCTTTTCCTGCCCACTCCCCCTTCCGTGTAATAACGGAAAACGTACAGATACTGATTGGTCATTTCTCTCTTATCTGACCTTCTGTGGGAAGCCAAGTTCAGCCACCTCCCGAGCTCGTGCGGCGTTCAAACCGCAGAAACACACACTTAGTCCGTTATCAGCCAATTAGCGTTCTTCCTTCTCCGTATTTTCTACTCATTCCTTCTACCTCAAGAGGAGCCCAAGGGACCCTTGGACGGGGGAGATTTACAAACACAATTTTGTCCTTTCAGCACATATTTGAAACAAAGTACCAGTTGTAACTCACGCAGTAACAAGATTATTTAAGAGGGTAAAAATCTGTAGCCTCCCATTGGCATCGAAATGGACAGCGATATAAAATGATAATGAATCACAGCATGGCTAGGGAAGCGATACGATGGGCCAAATTCTTGAGCCGTTAGTCTATACATATATTGTTCTCAGGCAAGACTTGCAGCTTTGGCCTGGTAACAGTATGAGCAGCTCAGTGGGACGGGCTCGCTTTTATTCAACGGCTTTGGAATTAACACTGTATTTTCCTTAAATCTTTTAGTGAAAGCAACAGATAAAAACAAATCTATTTTCTATAGTTCAATTTAGCTTTAAAAATAAAGAACAAAAAAGCTTCCGTATATCTTGTCTTTTCTTACAGTAGCAGGGAAAATTGCAAACTTTGGGACTCTTACTAAAATTATATTTGAAATGCTTATGCTTCGAGTCTCAGCAAAGCGCAATCAGAGGATTAATCAGCAAAAATAACACAAGGGAAAAAAAAATCACTACTTAAAAACAGCCAGGTGCTTCAGTTAAAGAAATAATGGTTAAAACAAATTATATCAAAATCAATTTAATCTACAAAAATCAAAACAAAACACTTTCCTTTAAATTTACATCTCACTGCACAATTCAAGACTTTATCAAAAGAACTGGACACCCCGAAGGTAAACGTTTTTGTGATCTAGGTGCTCATCTTCAACCCAGGGAATAAAGGTTCAACACCTTCACTTTACACAGGCTTCCAGTGAGACATCAGACATGGGTGTGGTCACCTTATCATGTCGATATGAGGGCGAAGGAGTGGTCTACACTGAGAGGCAGCTTTATACATGGCTTTGAGAAGAAGCTTTTCCTCTGTTTTTTTCATAAACAACATTCATTTTAAGGAAATATGCCTGAAAAAAAAGAGAAAGGCCCTGTTCCTTTTACAGTGACTACATCTCATGATTTTTGGTCATATTATGGTCCAAACTCTCATGCAGATTTTATGTGGGTATAATGAAATGATGACCTCTGAAAAAGAGCTGTTGAGAAAAGGATGAAAAGGCCACAGACATGTGAACTTGAATCTCCTGGTAATCAGCTGGGTAGGGAAAAGCTTTCTCAGAAATCCATTTCTATGGAATAGGTTGTATTTTATTTTCCAAAACACAGACTGGGATGAGAGGAAGGCTACTGATCTATTAACCACAGTGGAGAAGGCAGGGCTGCACAGCCTTTTTCCAATCCCTCATTCCCTCAAGGTTTCTGGTTTAGTGGGGCTTTTTCTGGGGTGGGAGGGGTGGGGAGGGTTTGAGGTATGGGGGCGTTTTGTTTGGAGGTGGGTTTTTTCTGGCTGTTTGGTTGTGTGGAGTTTTGTGTATTTATTTTTGAGAGGATGGGTAAACAGGTATTCTCTTCTTCAGCTCTTCCCATCTGGTCTGCTCTGGCCTTCAGGCTGTCCCCAGCGGTCCCAGTGCTTCAAAGAGAACAGCCATGGCTGTAAGGCTTGACAGAAACCCCTTTATCCCAATATGAAAAGATTTTCTGTACTCCACCCTCCTCTCTCCTTTCAACAGCAAATGAAACCCAGCTTTAAGACGGAAGGGAGCTCGGAACAATATCCACTGACGTCCATTAGTAGCAGCAGCAGGACAGCACTGCCGCATGGGTGGAGGTGTGTGAAAGAGCACTCTTCACTTTCTGTGTCCTTACGGGTCAAGGAACAGATGAATATTTCAAGCAGCTTCAAAGCCATTAATTCTATTTACATTTTCTCTGGTCACCTCCACTTACAGAAGAAAAGAGGAGGAGAAAAGGAGACTGAGTTGGAAGGGGGCTAAGAGAAGCCTTCAGTTTGCTCCTCACAAAAAACATCCCTTTGAAGACTCTAAAGGGAACAGCCCAAAACTCAAGGTTTCTCCCTAACACACCCCTCCCATGCCCTTTTCTTTCTAGTCTTCTAGTTACGGTGCCCTTTCCATGTGTAATGCTCATCTTTCACCTCTCTGACCTCTGCACCCCCTCAAGCATGTTTTGAGAAGGACCAACCTCACACCTACAGTCTGATTTAGAAACGATAGCCTTCCTTAACCAAGGGAAGTAATCATTTCACTTTATAAAATAAAGTGTGATTTGGTAACATTCACACATTTGAGTAATGTCGGCATGTTCTGATACAACATCTTGGTGCCATTTCCCTCAGTTTTTATTTCACCCCAGACATCAGTTTGACTGGAAAAGTGGAAGGAAAAAATTTTTTGTAATAACTTATGAGAGCAGTTCACCCCAACATACAAATAAACCCACACATTTTAAAACATCAGTGTCCAACTGTGTTTTTCTCCTGCTGTATGGCTTCAAGAAATTTGAAAACACGAGGGGGAATCCCAACTAGATAAAACTGCTGGACAACGCTCTAGAAAGAAAAACAAATCTAGATGCTTAAATAGCCCAATATATTAAAATTGCAACGGAACCTGCAAAATTAGGAAGTGTTTAGAAAATGTAGTAGCACTATTTGGGAGAAAACGAGTAAAATGAAGCATCAAGAAAACTGTCCAGTGTCCCCCCTCCCCGTTATTGTATTTTACTGTAGAACGTCAGCTCCATCTGCTGGTAAAAGTAGTTTCATGGAAAGGCATATCGCAATTTTGCACAGACCTGTGTCTGGCAAGCAAAGAGTCTTTGTGCTCAAAGAGCTACGAGCTTTTGATTTAAGGAAATAAAGTGCTGTATATCAAATGCCTCTTCTGACACAGTCTGATGGCACCATGGCTTGAGAGAAATAGTTCACATTGAGTTTCATGGTCTGTATCTCACTGTAGGAACATGACTTCCAAAGGTTGGTAGTGTGACTCACACCAGTTGTAAAAATAGCTCCAAATATTAAGGAAGGGTCAGCTGTTGTTATGCTAGATATTAATTTCCATTAAAACGAAAGTCTGATTAACAACACAGTGGTTAAAACTAAATCAATATAATAAATATATATAGCACCACAAGCTATGCATCTTCTAATAACTCTCCTACTCCGAAAACCACTATGTATGTTTTCTTTCAATATAAAGACATTAGTTTTTGAGCTGGTTTCATTTGTTTAAAATTCTTAATTAACATTTTCTAAAAACAAGCTAGAGACGTGTACTTAATAATAAAATCCATAATGTGTAGGCTTCTCCGCAAAGAATTCAGATGCAGAACACAAATTAGTATTGAAATGAGGACTCAATTAATTGGTGATGGTTTCAAACATAAAATCTCTTTATTGCTCTCTCAATTCTATTCCCAGATTTTTCAAGTCTTTCCAGAAGTTGTCTTTCATTACTTTGTGAGTTTTCTAATAAACTTGTGATTATGTAAGTTTCCATGTAATACCTGACATATAAGCTCCAAACTTCCAAGCCTGAAGAAAACAGTGTAATTCTGGCCGAAACAATTCAGAAACATTTCCAAAGTGGTTAATTTGGGGAACACGTGTGAAAAGTTAGAACAGTTACCTACATCCACCTCAAGAATATACAAGAAATGTACACTTTTAAATTTTAGTGCTGGGATGACAAATGTTTTTTCCACTAAAAGAAAATAGTTCCGGCTCCAACTACGCTTCAGAGAACAGTTACTTGAAATCCTTTTCAGACCTGCTTTCAGAGCGAACTATTTCAAGCGACCACATCATACAATGCAACCTACCAGATGCTCAAAAGCTTCCTGTGCCCAGGGAGAGCCCAGGTGAGACACAGACACCCAGCAGCTGCTTTACTTAGGAGGGGTCTGATGAAACCGCATTAAAACAGGATCAGCACTTCTCCACAGCAGGATATCATCTCAGCAGGCCTCTGCACAGCACTGACGCTGCTCAGGGTAACAGAAGTCAGTAAACACAAGACACCTAACGCAACAGGCTTCACTGCAGTATTATCTGTGAACTGTACGAGGTGCACCCAAAGCCACACTTTTTGGTTCCACTGCCAGCATGGCGTAAGGGTTAAAAAAGCGTCATACTTACATTAGCCTAAAATGCCTGAAAACAACTAGGCTGTAATGTCTCTGACAAACTGTAGCAGAGTAAATCTATTTGACATAAAACATTCTAAGAATCGACTCAGCTAATCTTTAAAGGCAGCTGTACAAATTTCAATAGAGCAAAAATAATGAAGTTCTGTTTCAATACCTTAACACAACTACTAATCAATCTTGTAAAGATGGCTTTTTCAAGGGAAGCCCTGACCTTAAAAGCTGAGCTACATGAACAGTTTTTCATGCCTTCTTTCTTCATTTATTATTACCGTAGTAACACAGAACCAAGTTTTTTACTATTGACTCCTAATATTTTCCATCCATTTCTGACAAACTTCTGTTTAAATAGTGAGAGCCCTACAAAAAGTTATGGGAAATAGAAATGTAGGCAGAACAATTTTTACATCTTAATAAACTGATGCTGCAATAGCTCCGTGTATCTAAGCATGGAACAGTGTAATTCCAACGTGAGCTAGCAGACAGCTAAAATCAGCAATCCCTACCACAACTCAGAGCATTTGAGGAGCTTTAGGCACATTAGCTATCACTCAGTGAAGTCAAAGCAGTGTTATCAATTAGCAACCTTCAACATTTCACTAGGACACGTTACAATTGTCTACCGAGGTGCCCAGAGACATATAACCAAGAAGAAATTGTAGATATCTGACTTCCTCTGCCTCCTGGCACTGTGCACCAGCACACAGAGAGACCTTTTCCAATGAAACATGAAGACCTGAAGGACAAGACAGCAATGTCCCTTGGCGTAACAGCTTCATATTGGTTTGTAAACCCCATTCTCTCACTGCAGCTCTATTTCCAGATACATCGCCATTCATCACCGCTGAAGGGTCAATGACATTCTTCCAATGTCATAAACCTTCACCTCCAGTCCAGCAGTCTATACGGATCAGACATTAGCCTCAGATGAAGCTCAGTCAGGGACAACCATTACCCACGGAGCTATCTCAGCCGACGTAGCATGGTTTCACATTCTTCCTCCTGTTCTCTGACACCAACAGCCTGCCTTCAGTGTGTGGGTACTCCATGTCTTGCAACAAGAGGCTCACAGAAAGCACTGCAAAGCCCAAAGAAAAGTTGGGCAAGCACTACTGATGTCTCTAGCTATTTGGTCATGTAAGAGTTAATTTCTTTAAACTCTCTGGCAATATGTTTGGAGTGCCATAACTAGAGGCATTCAATAGCCATAAAGCGGGGATGGCAGCTAAAACAAGTTGTTGCTACTTAGGTTAGAATTCATGAAGTCCGAAAGCTTGCAAAGAACAAGCATTATAAATCAAGGTACGTAAACTTTAGTACAGATAATTGTGTAACCTAGGAGACAACTAAATATATAATTATAATACAGTCACAATAGGGAACTCGCTACATACCAGTGAAGAGATGAGTAAAAGCAACTGCTGCCAGAACCCATGAATTTACCCACAACATTTACAAAGTGTCTTATCTGTGAAAGCAGGTTAAGAACACATTCCCTTTGCATTTCATTACAAATACTTTCTTACCTTTAACTTCCTAACAGCGTCTCTTACAACTTCCGTGCCTTTGGGTTGCTCCACTTCCGTACTGCCAAGAAACTGAGAAGATTGCAATTTGTGAGAAATAAGTTACACACCGAAAGGCCTAACTGACTCAAGTAATGATATTTTCTAATTATTTCCAAGTAACATTTTGGAAAGACATTCATTTTAACAGTTGATAAATAACAAATCTTCATACAGCTATTTTTAATCAAGAAAATAACAAGAATTAAATTCTAATCAGACAAACATAAGAGGTATCAAAAGCAGGTTTCAAAAAACATTTTCTTTATCTCAACAAGTCTGTAAATTAGGGATTAAGTACCTTTTCTCCAGCAGGAAATTGTAATTTTAGTAATATTGGCTCTTTTGGAAAATAATGATACATCCCATGAATCAACATGAGCTGAAGGTTTGACTGTGTTACGAAGATTTGCATACAGTGGCGCAAGATAAATTCAAAAGGCCTGATTCTGCTCTCAGAGCTGCTGGGTACTGAAACTTCTGAGATTTAAAGGAAAGAGGCTCCAATTTGCATAAAAACAAGGCTCATATTGGAAGCATCTCTAGTAGAGATCATATTTCTACTAAGTTTTTAACAAAAAACAAGCATACACCTGTTAATACACAGAGCACAACATTCCAAAGGCACCTGACCATTTCTTTACTTACCCACTGGAATGCCTTTACGTTCTTGTGTAGAATTCTGCTTGCCTTCTACTATACTGTTATGAGAGGTGCAATAATCCTGCCCAAACCACGCCTGTGTAACAATTAATTATGAACTGCCTGCCCTATTTTCACATTGAGTTATGGCTGATTTAAGTCATGTACCTGCATAAGCCAGAATAATGCTAGCAAGAAAGTATGGACACCCTTTTTTCACTAAAGCACACAATTTTCTATGTAATACGATGCACAGAGGTATAATTTTTAAGTCTCAACAGTTTCAAAGGAACGTGAATTTGCCAAGCTACAGATGCTTTCAGCATTATAACTCTAAAGTTTTTAATTTTATTAAAACTTTGATACATATTTTCTGTAATCACTGTGCTCAATCTGTACTGCTGCAAAGAAACTCTGCAGCTCTACCAATAATTAAGTCTCATCAGAAATTTGCTACTGACTCTGAAACATGATGTGCCAACTTGAATACAACAGAGTGCAAATCAAAACACCAGGCACATCTGCTGTCAATACTCTCTACGATTACAATTCTCCATGCAGGAGACCAAGATTTTGTAATAACAAACCAGAAACCTCCATTATCGATTTGTTTTCTTTCATGCAACGTCTCCAATGAGTTTAAACAGAGGTTGCGTTCTTCCCTGGGAAAGTGTCAGTTGCACAAAATGCATCAAGAACAAGGATTCTTGGATATTACCAATACTACATGTGACAGAGACAGAAAGGGAAAGATGAGTGAATGCAGATGAGCTAATGCAGGCGAGTAAAAAAAAAAATTAACCACAAGCTTAAATGGACAAGAAAGCAAGTAGATACGGCCAGAGAACCCAAGAGGCATGCCGGTAACACCAGACATCTGTTCACAAGCATAGGCATACACCACACATTTGGCACAACACAAGAGGTAGAAGCATAATTGCACCAAAGTTTGTGAGCAGGCCAGGGTACATCATATACAGTACAGGAATCCTGCAGAAACACAGGAGAATACAGCCACCAGTGTGAACAGAGGACACGGTCACTGCTGTCTACAGCGAGTGGAAGGCAGCTGAGAATACTCCATCCACACGTGCTTCCTAATATTTGTGTAGTTTGGAAACTGGCAGCTCCAGAGGCACTGTCATTGTAAGCAGCCTGGTACTTTGTGATACACGTTCAGGGCCTGGCCTCGGGTGGAATTGTGTCAAGTACACTTCTCAGATGACCTGGGCTATGCTGCCTCGCCTGCAGCCGCTTCTCCAGAAGGGCACAGGGCTGCCCTATGTTTCTTATCTGCTTACTGCCATGCAGATAACAGAGATCTGAGATAGGAAAAGATAGCTCAGAAGCGACAGTCACTTCCCCTCTCCTCCCCACTCAGCATCTCCCTCTGATTCAAAGCCAAAGAAAGATGAAGGTATTTTTCCTGTATTCAGTGATCAGGCCAATCCTTCCCTGAACAATAAGTCCCATAAATACTGTTTACCCAGGGGCTTGTACCTCATCTTAATGCACAACACTGCCTTCAGAAGTGTACGCACCCAATTAAGCTTCTGCCATAGCTGGGGCGTCTGTTAAACTTCACTGAATTTGTACGCCCACAGTAATGCTCCCCAAAGCAGAAATTACCATTTCTGATCATGGAGGGGAAGGAAAAGTAGACATCTCAAGAGAAAGATGAACTGCTGAAAGCACAGGTTTACATGACTGACAAATCCTGAAGAAACACATACTAATTGTGTTTGCTCAACAAGATACAAAAAAGTAAACATCCACTGCTGGCCATGTATGGAAACATCATGAGCACTGTATCAATGTTTATGGAACTAACAGAATTCTACCAGTCCTTCACCTGCACTGTCGTCCAGATGAGTATCAGTCCTGACATGAAGCATCACTACTGAAATTTTTATTGCTCTTAGCAGTTTTGAGCCAGACGTGGAATTAGAGCTTATGCATAATGGCCTATTCGGCGGAGGAAAATACAGTAAGACACACCAAATCCATAAATGCAAAGGAGATTTGTAGCATCTTAATAGCAGAGCTGATGAGACCATGCCACGGATTGCACTGTTCAAAACTGATACGTATTTTTATCTCTTAGCTGAAGTTCTATTTTTTTTTATTCAGATAAGGTCAAATTTTAGCCATAACTACTCACACGTTTCATGCCTGACCTTCATAGCCTTTCTAATTTGACTTGCTTGTTTGTTTGTTTTTGGTAAGACAGCAACAAAGAGCAAACCAGAAATTAAGAGGAAATATTCTTTGTATTAGACTGTTCTATTTTGCAGCAGAATATTAAAAGAATTTCAAATCAAAACAATTGATTTCCTAATCAGAACAAAAGATTGACTGTTCAATATAGGTTTAACATACAGCTGATGCATTAACAAGAGGCTTTTTATGGCTTACTCTTTTGTCTGCTCTGTACCTTTTCTGTGTAATCTGTCCCATCTTATTTTGTTTAATATTAGGTACCAAATACCATGGCATTACTTGTAACGGTTAAGCTAAGCAAACACATATATATTTGCAGAACTGAGACTCCAGATGACGAGCGCAGTGTGGCAAAAGCCCTTCTCTTCGTACAACCCCTAACACGCAGTGGAGACGCTGCCACTGCCGGGACTCTGAAAGGAAATGACAACTCATTTGCCATCCTAATGACATGGGGAGATGACCATTTTGGTCTTTTCAAGGTATCTTTCTCACCGAATCTCACACAAACACAAAGAACAAATATTTGTTATATCAGGAATTCAGCACAGCTGTGGCATGAATATTATACATATTCATCATGAAAGAGTTTCTGCAATAAAAATTTCAAATCAAAATTGGTAAAACTGAAACTTCCTCTTTTAAGACCAGCCTCCTTTAGAAAGCCATGCTAGTGGGGAATTCTAGGTGAGAATTTTAAAAGTAATTTTAAAATTGCTTTGATCAGGTCAGGTGTTGGGCCACAGCTCTGGCCCTGTTGCAGACCAAGCTGGTGAGGAATGAAAACAACAAGAAATGTAACTGTTCCTAAGAGTCAAGCTAATACAACTCCTACACTGAATTGCAGATGAGAAAAACAGAAAATATTGTAGCAGTTTCCCTTCAGATCATTCAGTATGAAAACCGTATGCAATGTAATAAATGCATTAAGTGCTCATTAACGTAAAATACGCAATAACAGGTGAAAAATTATTACATATGATTGCTACATGTATTTACTGTTCGCAATTATTCTTGAGGTCGGTGTGCTTCATGCATAACAAGCCAATTAAAAAAAATTATCAGTAAGTTAGCCATGCCTCTAGACTAATCTTTTTAAATATTTATGTTCTGTTAAGTTCGGTGCTAATGAGAAGTTCACCATATTCATACCGAGTTTCAGCTGGATACTTGAGGTTTGAAGAGGATGACATTTAATATTGTGCATAACACACAGCAAGCTAAGGCAATGTTCTCCCCATATAAGTTACCGCAAATTTATCATTGCGGTCTGCCATTCTTCCAAACACATTCCCTACAGAAGTGACAAAAGGTTATTTTTCTAATATATTACTGATTCTGATCTCACTTGCAGCTGTCTATAATCAGAAAGAACTTTTATCAGATGAATGGATCTTATCAGTCACAACAGTTTAACTGTAACTTTAAAGCATATTAAGCCTTGTTCTTCCCTCATTGATGTTTGCCATTAAGAAAGGGAGATGTTGACCAGCCATGCACAAGACAAACACCTCAGATCAAACTGTTTATCATCTAATATTAGCAGACAACCAGATGTGCTCACTCCACATGGAAAGATCTGCAAGACACTGCAGCTGTGGAGAATTAACAGACACTATTTCATCATACTAGAATCAACAGAATTTTATCACTGGCAGTGACTGAGAGAATGATTTAGCCCTGCAATGGCCAGGAGGGCTGCCTTACGCACCAAACAAGTACACAGACCCTTTGTGGGGAGGGGAGTATCTCTTCCTTCAGAACATAGCTGAAATGAAAGTTTTCCTATGCATTTAACTTAGGCAAAACATGTTTTGGTCCAACTCCATAGTGAGGTTATTAAAAATTCTTTTAAAGTTATTATTTGGCTGGAGAAACTATGAAAATAAAAGAAAAAGTAAGGGTTTTTTACTTTTATTTTGTTCACTCAATTAAGAATGAACTCAAATGTAGGGCAACTTCAGGTGTCCAGAATACTTTACGGTTTTGTCAAGGCTATTGCTGTTCTCACATGGCCAATAACTAACAGTAAGGTCAGGTGAATTGTTAATAGCTGACGTTTTTCCTTGCCATTAACAAGGCAGTCTCTGGTAATTCTTTCCCTGTCAACTTACATTTTAGCTCTCAACATTCTACTTTTTTTTTTTTTGTTTTTACATACAAAACATAAC